AGAAGAGTGAAAAGAAAATAGAGTCGTTCACTAAATACACAGATAATCGGTTTACGGTGTGGATATGTGTCTTCATATGCTCTGCTCTGAAACCTATACCCACACCCTAAAACGAGTCTTTTTATTCATCATTTTTATCTTATACCAAGCTGGTTATCTGCGTATATAATTTCAACACACTCTGACTAATCGTTGTAATAGATCTGGGAAGACTGTATAAGTAAACAATCCATACTATTTCAAAAATCTATCATTTCTACGTATCTGAACTTCTTTGATACAGAACTATTCTGCACTTTTTCCGCATTAGCATAAATAACAGTGCATTTTAATATTTATTCTTTTCACTATGACAATAAGAAGTATGTAGAGATTATTATTTGCGTTTAACTCTGTTAAATAAAAACTGAAGCCTTCACCAATAAATTACCATAAAAAAACAAAATGTCATAAAAAAAAATTGAAGTAGCGTATGAGAATGTCTTTCGGTATAGGAAAATAATGAATCCAGTATTCAGCTGTTGACTTCGAACAATTTGCTAAGTATTAAATTTTTCTCACATCTAGAAAATAAACAACAAATAGATTCAGTTCTAAATAAGACAATAAGAAGAAAAATACTCCGCAATAAATTCTTCTTTCGTCAATTGTCTCTCGGCTTTCAAGCCAATAAAACGAACAATCTCTGCAGCAAGGGCCATCGTTTTAAAAGTCGACGTATGCAAAGTGCTCTTCGCGCTGGCACTCTACAAAGACAAAACATAAGCCAATTTGTGTTTACAGGAGATGATTGAAGCGGTTTTATGAGACAACTTACAGCAATTGAACTAAACTGTATTAATTCATTCAAATCCATCCGTCCGTCTTGATTATAATCGCACCTGAATGAATATGAAAATTATGTAAAAATAAGAAAGATGTCTAAGGTCTACTTACATATCGAATACATAGCTTAATGCCTCATGTCTTGTCTTCGACATTGCAAAAGCCTTAGCCATTAAAAACTCCACAAAATCAATTTCGTCATTACGATCAGTATCAAAGAGAAGAAATCCGAGTCTTAAAAAGAATAAATCCATTGGGAGAATGAAAGACTACAAATAATATACGATACAAATGGCCAAATATAGACTTTCATTTATTCTAAGAATTTCCTGACATTTACACATTCCTAAACAGTACTGACTGCTAGGCATGCCGCTCCACAGAGAAAATAATTATTAAAATTCACTACTATATTCTCGTGGAATTCGACAGACGACACGAACAAAAACAAAACTCAATAAATTGATATCTCTAGTTTGCATTAAAATCTGTAAACAAATATCAGCTGAAGAATACTAATCTTAATCCCAAGATACAAACAATAGGTAATTAAACATTGCATGAATATATGTTCGAAAATTTTACTTTAGTTTTGATGTAGCACGCTTATTTGAAAATGATTGAACGATTTCTCATATCGTTAATCAAGATAATGTATAATGAAGAAATGAACATACTCGTGATGAAGTTTTCTTACAGCACTATTCGGGTCTACACGTTGATAGAAATCTTCGTATTGTCTTGAGGTCAACTTGCCATCTGGGTAGTTACGCCAGAATTCCTAATGAGAAAAAAATGGCAATAGATATAAATAATATTTCATCATATTTTATGTCTACTGCATGTAGTTCTCGAATTTCTGGAATAAAAAAAATACAAAACTAATCGATGCATCGATGAAATAGATTTTGATTACTTTTTTCGTCGAGTTGTGATCGAATTTTCAATACTTCCATGTCTGAAAATGAAAATTATTTCTTCCATTGAAAATACCAATAGAAAAAAAATAAGCATAAACCTCGTTTTGTTATTTCCTTGCTAGCGCCAATTTTCAACGAAGGTAATGCACTCATAGTTGATGATTCACACTATTGTCTTGAGATTTCTAAAAATGAATCAAAGCAAGTAAAGAAAATGAATTTATGTTTTTTGTTTTATGAGTGTAAGGCAAAGCGAGAGAAAGATTTGATATTCTTTAACGTTACACTGATATTTATGTCTCACATAAACATGGGTAAATCATTATGTGACGTCTCTTTTTATGTAGTATTTCAACGGTTTAACCTTGTTGTTTTTTAGCTATCCTATGAAAACGAAAGAAAAACAAACTGTTTTTACTTTCGATTCTATAATGTTATGTATAGAGTATCAACTTGTATCACATGGTTTGCATCAGATATACTTTAATCAAGGTTAATTATAGAAATTCGAAAAGGTAATTGGTGAATCATTTCTCTTCTGCTTACAATATCAATCGCATTCGTTGATGTTGAGTTTTTTCGTTATGAAACTCGTTTTAATTCTCAAAATGATTTCTTAACGGATTCCAGTCATTTTTATACTTATTACAATATGATTTCGTACTCAGTGTAATTTCGGTATTTCTACAAGTTTTGTAAATAATTTCTTGAGAAAAATTTATATGTAACTTGAATTTTAAGTCTATCATCTCAAATTTGATATAAATCAATTCGAGTATGAATAATAACTGAAAAATCAAGTTAAATTGAAATGTTGAGACCAGTTAGTTCCATTTAAAATGCAAACATAAAAAACTCGTCATAACTCATAACATGAGTCTTCTGGTGAAACAAGTTTTTACAAGAGTACTACTTCTTAAAAGCTTTTCATATCAAAGTGTATCATTTGAATTTCATATGCCATGGTAATCAGTAAAATTTTGGAGATACTTCTGCATAGTGGATTATTTGAGAATTGTTTTTTAAACAAGCATATTTTCAACATGAGCTAGTAGAGAAAAATGTAATTTATTCTACGTCAACATTTCAGTGAGTCAGTGAGTGATTTCTCGTGAACAATCTTTCAATATGAATATTGGGTGTGGATGTGGATCTGAGTCTAGTTCTTTTCTAGTCACACACGCACACCCTTACACATCGACACCCATACCCTACCCTGATTGCAGTTTTCGATGCTGATTCCGAAGTATCTATTTTGTTTTTAGGAGTATGTCATGACAATGAAAACTGCTGAAAATCTTTATTTTCTACTGAAAAAAAAAACCATCAAAAACTATAAAAAATTAGGAGGTGTAAGCCCTTTTTCGCATCGATTCAAAATTTGTTTTCAAATATTTTCTTACCATTTTGTAGAGAAAAAAAAGTTACACAACATATATAAAATTCAACATGGTATCTTCTGATCCTGAAATATAGCAGAAGGTACATTGTTGTATTTGGGCTAATCAAAAAGATCTCCTTGGCTCATGTCGGTTTTATAAAACTTTAATTGCTAGGCATTATACTATATCAATATAGCTTATTTTCTTCAGCTTTTTATTCTCTATATTCTGATATACACCAAGAAAAATTTCAATGATCTATTTAAACTTAAACTGGAACATCTTTTATAGGCTATTTTCCCGAAAAGGTATGATAGTGCTAAAAGTCGGTATTGACTAATTTTTCATAGAAAGGGTATTAGAATCTAAACTTTTGGGTTTAGTGGTTTCAGACATTGACGCATTGAATGACCAAGAAAAATAAAAAATAAAAATTTCATCGAGTGTTTCGTATATTGGAATGAAACCCGATTGGATCATGGAAACTCTCTCAAGGCGTATTACCCAGAATTGATGAAAATCAAAATTCATCATCATTTCTTTTCTGATTTTTTGTATGAACAAATATGGTTGTTTCGAAATTCATCGCTGAATCTGAAAATATTTTGAATAGGCTCTTTTGTTATAACAAGAGACCTGCCTTTTATGGTTTCTTAAACCAATGATTTGCATTTGAAAACTAAGCTATTTCTGAAAGTGATTCGATCACGAACATACCTTATCACTCATTTTTCGTCAAAAGCAACATATTTCTAATTTTACTAATGAGTTCTCTAGATGTATTCTTTTAGACTGTATCTAATGAACTCACCGGCTTTTTAAAAAGTTTTCGAGTTCATTAAGAAGAGCGTAATTGAATCACAATTGATGAGTATGTTTCTTTTTACTCAAAATAGAAACATAGTTTTTTGCTTGTATTATTATTTGAAACAAATATTTGGATAAGCAGAAAATATTCTAGAGCTCCACTGGCTCATTTGGAAGTTGGCTTATAAGAGTTCTGCCTTATTTTTATTATCTAGGCTTTTTCACTTATGATACCAGTTTGTTTATTCTGAAAAGGTTTAGTGAACTTTCTCAAGAATTCAACGCTGAGGACAACATGACCATTTCTCAAAAACATGATATCCGTCACGAAGTTTTTTTCTCAAAAGCTCATTTTTTTTACATTTTTGAAGTTTTCTTTTTTTCTGTGTGTATAGTATGTTATCTAAGCTATAACTATTCTTTAGAAAGTTATTTCATGCCAACTTTAGTTGAGCTAAATTTTTCAGTTCTTTACACAGCAGTCAAACTCGATGTCTATTTTCGTGATTCCGTCATGGATCTGTATTTCAATGATCAAGATTATAAAGATGAAGCTTCAAATCGAATGAAATTTTCAGAATATGCAGAGCAACTAGATTTAAATATTAGCTAAAAATGTCGACTTTATCTGACTTCATTCCGCTCAGATATTAGTGATACAAAGTGAAAAAATGTGATTCCGTCAAGTTTGGGCAGATCGTATTTCAACACAATTGAGTTCACACATTTAAGCATTATCATTAACGATCAAGCAATTCAAACAAAGTTGGATTCGCACATGCAATCGCTGAAATCGAGTTTTATTTTCAAACGTATTGCGAAGGTACAGGATGGAAAAGAATGTCTTGTATATTTTTGTTTAGACTTCATCTTTCATTCCAAACATGTAAGTTTTCTTTCTGTAGAAACAAAAATCAACATATTCTGATACTAAAATGGAAATGATCACAATGACAAACTAATAGCCGATGGTGTCGTGGAATGGAGAAGAGAATACCAAATGTTCTTGGTCTTCTGATTGATTGTGAAAAAATTAAATGATACGATTAGAGTGCTTCTTGTTGACTTATTGATTTACCCAAATCTCAATGCTGTTATTTATATAAAATGTTCGACGAACAGAACTCATCGATAGCAAATGGTCTCGTAACCATTCAACAAGCTCATCTTTATCCGATGATGATATTCGTTTGTTGTTACCCTTCTCTTCTTCTTCTTCTTCTTTCAACTTACATATTAACGCTCGAACATTAGACTTCGTCTTGACAAGATCGAGGACATTCGATCGATCTTCCACGTTAACCGAGAGAACTTCACATTGACGTCCCAATGATGAATTGATTAATTCAGAACATTGTGCAGCATTGAGACATAAATCATACCAAAACGATGAATGAAATAAATCCAGTCGACGAATAGATGTACTCGTGACTTTCCATAGTATCGATAATAAATTTGGTAATAAATCGATTGTCAACGAATAGAGATGAGGTGCTCGATTAATCAAGTCTAGTAATTCAGATTCAGCACTGCTATCGTTCATAACTACTATAAGAGATGTTAGATTATCAAGTGTCGGAATAAACGAGTAAATATTTTTATGTGTAGGAAGACAAATACGTAGGCAACGAAGGTTTGAGTAGCGAATCGGAAATAAGCACCAATTGTTAATATCGCCTTCTAAGCTAATATTATGTACGGAATTATATAACCAATACACTGGATCATCCAGACCAGTTGATTTGAATCGTCTAGATTGATCTCGAACACAAAATCGGTCTAAATAATAGGGTAATGTATAAAGTAAAATCGAATCATCTTCAACACGTAAATTCCATTCACATCGAACAAACCAACGACGTTCTTCGAGCCAAAACGAAGTTCGAAATGTTTCTAATAATTCATCGATTTGTTCTTCTCTTCTACTCTCATCAGAAAATTTGAATTCCATGTGTAATCGAAATATTTCAATTCGAGGTAGATAATCAACAAGGATTTGCTGCCATGCATATCCGTTTAAGAAAATATTCGATGTATCAATCGTCAAATGACGCAAGTTCGGTGTGTTTCGCAATATGAAGATTAAGGCCGAATGTGACGCGAAAACATATATGTTCAAGAACGTCAAGAAAGAAGCTACTTGAGGTACTAGTGATTGAATACCGAGATCGGAGAAAATTGTCGCGTGAAGATGATGAAGTCGAGGCGTGTGTTCGAATAGATTCATCAAATCTTTCAAATAAAATCGGAAATATGGTACCGAAACAAACTCAATTGAACGAGAAATCGTTGTCAATTTTGAGAATATGGAATTATGTACAATATCACGACCGAGATCACAATATTTGAGTTTAGGTAGATGCCAGATGTTGTTAATTAAGTCGATCAAACCATTGGCACGCATATCACAACAGCTAATCAAAGTCAAATGTGTTAATTGACTTGGAAACGAAGATTTGTTCAAGATTGTATTGATTTTTTTGATAGAATCGATGTGAAAAAGTGACAGCGATTGTAAATCAATGAATTGATCAAGCGTGAAACTGTAGGCAAGAAAATGATTCACGAGATTTGGAGTTTCGTCGTTATCACAAAGACAAAGTGAAATAACTCGATCAATGATCAGTGGTAGGTATTGTTGAAGTACTAGATCGAAGTTACATTTAGATATGGATCGAAAATTAAATCGATAATGTCGGAAATGAACGAAGAGCAATGTGTCAAAGCGACTGTTGAGACCATGAAAAGCGCGAAGGAGATGAGTACCATCGAAAAACTCGAAGAGTTCCAGCATGAGCTCGTTGACCAACGACTCGAACTTCATCTCTTCTCTTTTGAAAGTAATAGCGTATGCGTAAGAAGTAGAAAGGAAGGAGAAAAAAAAAAAAATTTTGCAACGATGATACAATGTCACATATGGCGAATAGCTGAGTCATTGGATGGCTTTTTTTCTTTCGTTTCTATCACAGTACTTGTAATGCACATCAAAGAAAAAGAAACATCTTGAGGTGATGCAATTTACGAAAAAAAGAAAGAACGGAAGAAAATATTTTTATTATTACTATCGATGTGAGTGTGGATGTCGATGAAGACAATACCCACACCCACACCAATACCCTTGTAAAACAGATGTACATTTACGATTAATCAGACTTACATCAAACAAATCTATGTTATAGTTTATTTTACAAAATGAATAAAATATTTTTTTTACGTGTTATATCAAGTTTATTTATGAAAGTCACACAGAAGGATAAATTTATTGACTTTTGATAAAAGCAAAACGTACTAAAAATTCATCATTCTACGTCAAACTATTGTCGTCATTCTATTTCTTATTTGAATTATGAGTCAACTCTTCTATGCTTTCTACAACAACCATTTTGGTTTTTTTTCCTTTTTCTTTCTACAAAGAATGTGAATAATATTTAGTTTTTAGAGGGATGGCACATGACGTCTTTCTTTCTGCTTTGCGATTATATATATAAAACTCTTGCAATTCTAGTTTATATCAGTTGCTAGACAAAACTATCATATACAACTAATTTTTCAAGCAAATATGGGCAGTGGTTATTCACATTATCACGATCACCATCCACATTTTGGAGCACATCACTATCCTCATCACTTTGGTCCAAACTATCACCATCATATGGGCCCCGGATATGGATTTGATGGTCACCATCATCATCATATGCATCATGGATTTGGATTCGATCATCATCACGGTGCTTTTGGTGGAGGCCATCATTTTGGTGGTCATCATGGGCATTGCTAATAAATTCTATACCATAGAAATAAATTTTTATTTATGTTGTACAATATTTTATTATGAAAATAAAGACTTATTATAGCCACATGTGCAGTTGACCTAATCATTCTGATATCTGTTAGTTATGTGGAAGATGATGTTTGATATTATGTCTCACTAAATACGTAATAAAGTTGTAAAAGTTCGTGCACGTCTGTGTAAATAAAACATCATATATTTCAAAGAACGTTTTTCTGTGTTCAGGAAAAGAATTAATCGTAGCTGCTCTTGGATGACTCTCGACTTCAATTTTACGTTCACTACAATAAGATCAACCTGAAATTCCCGATCGTTTCGAGGGCTGATGCTGTTCGAATAAACTCCTGAAGAGCATTAGAAATAGAGACGACAAAGAAGAGACTCTCAACTTATTATGTAGTAAATCGACATCTCAATGAAAAAGTCTTACACAAAGGCTATGAAAATACTCAGAAAATCAATATGTCTTAGTCTCCATATTTGGCCATAGTGTGCACCTATTGATACAGGATTGCCCAAGAAATATAATCTCGATATCTCAAGTGTCTTCCGAAGTATTCAAGTGACGAATATCAATGGACAGGCATGTAGACCAGTTAAAGTGTATTGAAATTTGTCACATGAATATCTTGAAAGGCACTTTGAATAGTGAGTTGGAATTTCCGGACAAAGAATACCAACGATTAAACCATATATGCTATCAAACATTCTCCACCTATGAAAAGATCTCTTTCCTCTTTTCGATTGTGTTTCCGTTCATTTTATATCACGCGATAAACTCGTTTCAAGTCACTACCCATGTAATAACGAGTTTAGATCAATTTTTGGAAAAATCTATTTAAATTAATTACTAATGGAAGAATCGATTTTAATCCGATGCAAACGGCGAACATATCAGAACACCGAGTATGTCGTGCGTCGCATACTATGAAGAGTGTGCGTGTGGATGTGTGGGGTATCGGCGTGTTAATGGTGATATTTTGGTCTGTAACGCCCACATCCACACCACCGTTCTCTGCAATAGTATCATTTTGTAGAGCTTCAAGAGGGCTATCGATTGGTATATAAATGAAAGTGTTTTAAAAGTAGAATAAGATGGAAAGATCGTTCGCAATGTTGGCAATCTGTACTTAGCCATCCACTTCGGTCAACTACATGAGTGAAAAATGACCGGAAAAGTTTCTAAAAGAGATGATATTTTCATGGTTGATGTACACATTTGTGCAGTTTTGTGCGTCCTTTCTAATGATGTATGGACAGTAATGAGTCAATTTCAGCGAACGTGTAAAAACCATTTTACTATGAATTTTATAGGTATGATGTAATCACTGTATAGTGATCCATAATGACTACATCTATTCTCATTTCATTTGAAAACATCATCAAACAATTCAGCACAACTTTTTACTCATGTCTGAGTAGTTTTTACGCAAAAATCCTTAGTGCGCCGATGTGTGGTCTTACGCGCTCCCGTCCTTTTCTCCTCGGATGAATTATCTTCAAATCAATTCTCTTAATACTATGGATATTGGTTTATTTATAAAAGAGATTTTAAATAAAATTCATAATGATTCCAATCAATATCTTTATTCATTATGTCTTAGTATTCCAACAGCATATGATAAAATGATTGAAAAATTAAAGAATATTATCAATTCGAACAAACTTCTTGTTTTTTTTTATACAATCAAATCTGTATTTGATGTTATTTATTGACCATGGAAAAATGATTATCAAAAAGATTTCATTTAAAACCGTTTTTTAATTTATCAAAAACTGTATAAATGATATTTTATCTTTGAATTGTCTAAGCTTTACTGATAAATTAATAGATTTAAAGAATATATATTCATTTTAAGATATAAAACAATGAAATATCGAACACTTATGAATGACTAGTCGATAATCTACTCTAGGAATTTTATTTATACAGCAAAGGAAAAAGAATAAGATGTTATCATTCTATATTGTGAAGAAATGAATATAGGTTCGAATTTCTTTCTTTTGAATCATATCATTTTTTCAAACAGATATATCAATAAAATAAAAAGAAAATTAGCTATGGATAAATCGTCGGAAAGATCAACAAAGAAATTACAAAGTAAGTTATAAATAGAATAGATCTAATATTTAACAGATCATTTTTATGGATTAATAACTTCTATTGAAAATTTGTCTAATGAATTACTCTCTAAAATATTTGATTATCTTGATGGTTATGATATATATATCTTAATTATCGTTTTCAACAACTTTTCAACTCTTCATCTCTTTTATTTAAAGTTAAACTTAATTATTCAATATCAGAAGAAATACTGATGAATAATATTAAAGAATTTATTTTATTTAACAAAAAAAAAAAATTTTCATTTCATTTATCGATATGGAAAAATGTTGTCAGTCAAATTATCTCGTCATTTACCATTGATTCATTATTTAATCATCTCGAATCATTGGATCTTAATGAAATTAAACCGAAAATACTTCGTTTAGTTCTTATAAATGTAACTTGTTTACCTTGCTTATATTTTCATTAACTATGAACATAGGGTATATTCCAGAAGGAATTCAAGGACATCTATCAATTGATTTGCAGCTTATCCAAATTGAGATATATTAATTTCTCAGCACAGGAATATGGACATACTAGAATAACTCGTTCACCGTCGATAGTTAATCAAACAGCCCAGTATCGTTGCATATCTTGTTATTGATTATTTTTGTACTTTCAACAACCTTTCTACTATAGTTTCTTATACATCACAATTTTCTCGTCTGAAGTTTATGTATGAATTGGACATTAATCAAAATTTTTAAATTATTTCGCCAATTACATTATGAAATTTAACATATATTTCAATAGGTTAATATTATCTAAAATCTGATAAATTTAAACGACTTGTTTAAAAAATACATTCAAAATAAAAAGTTTTATATGTTCATCATACTGCATCTGATAATAGGGAGGGTGTGAGTGTGGGGTGCGGGTGTGGATGTAGTTCTCCTCTTAATCTACACCCACACCCACACCCTATATTTTCAGAAACATGTTTACGAAACAGGTACACAAAAAGGACAAAAGCGGTGAACGAAAGATCGAACTATGAAAAATATAATTCATGAAAGCAAAATGATAAAGAAAGACGTCAAGTTTGATCTTCACGAATATTCGTTCTGGAAAATTGGTCGAATATTTTGTAACAGCGACGTGTTCACTCATTTTATTGCCCAGAAAAAATACCTGTCGGTATTGTTAAAGGAATGTTTTTATCAAAAATGTCTAATGGAGGCAATGGTATTTGTCGATTGTCGACTTTTTCAAATAATAGTTGACGAAGTAAATTCTTCAATTCATCATCGAGATATCCTTTCGAGAAACGATGCAGAGCTTTTTGATGTGACCAAGGATCCTCAATGACTGTAATTAAATATTCTTGAAGTTCGATAACTGAAATTTGATCAGTAACAGCTAAACGATAAAGCATTTTGGCTGCATAAAAACGTTGACAGAGAGAGACTGATTTCATGGCTGACAAAAGCAATTCCACTGGTTCTCGGTCTGGTAGAATTTGCATATTAGTAATGAATGGGTTCAATAATGAACGGTCAGAATTCGACTCGATACCATCTTGTAAGGCAAATATCATCAACATTGATACAAATTGATTTGTAATTTCTTTAAAGCAAGAATAAATACTAAAACAAGCGAGTTGTTGTCGATGGGTATCTGTTTCTTTGCTCATCCTATAGAGAGCATCTTTGAAAGATTCTTCACCAAATGAACTCTGACGAACAATTCGACAAAATTCATTGGAAATTTCATCGCATATGATATCAGCTATTTCAATCATATCGAATCGTTGTATTGTATTGTTATGCATACTTTCGAATGTATCCTGAACGAATGTTGGAAGTAATTCAGATGCATGCCCGATGATCCATTGTGCAGTGCTATGGAGAGGCTGTTCGTTATTGTCTTGATATCCATGTTTAGACAGATAATGGTTAGTATTCATGATGAACGAAGTGTAAACCTCGTGGATCGAATATTCTGTGCAATTCTGAAGTATGTGTTGATTTAGACCGAGAAGAACAGCTCTGTGAATCATCAAAGATGAGAAATTGACTCGCATTGATTGTAATTCACTCAGTTCATGGTCTTGGATACATTTATCTCGACCAAAATATAACGACCAAAGACAAGCAACCAGAAGACGTTCGTTGGCAATTGAATTATCATCATTCGTAATTTTTCGTATTATACTCCATAGAGTACTTCTCACAAAATCATTTTCTCGAAACAAAATTGTAGCTCGAACAGTAGCAACTTTGACGTCAATGTCATGATCATAGCGTGCAAAATGAAGTAGACAATCGATGTAGTTGTCAACGTGTTTCGTGATAAATGGATTGTTGAAACTATAGTTCATAATCCACAGGAAGAAGTCGTAGTCAGTTGATTTAGTCAAATCAGAGAACGATTGAAAAATGCTATGAATATGAAGTGTAGCTTCTGGCGACACACTTGCAATCAATTCGAAAAAGGAAATTCGAACGGAAACAATACGTACTTGAGAATTCTTCGTACGTATGGCATTGAAATGTTCACGTTCGGCTTGAATTATTAGATCGATTTCTTCTGATCGATACAAATCGAACGTACAACGAAGACTTTCTTTTACTTGCATCAACATTTCCATTGGATATTCATTCCATTTTGTTATCCATCGGATGATTACATCTAAGTTATTGTGTATATTCGAGCGTGCATAGGTTTTGATCTCGTTCGAAGCTTTTCGTCGATAGAAATCGTCGTTACTAGTAAGTAGTTCACAGCATATATCAAGAACAGCTGGTATCCAGTGACAGAATTGAGCAAGTAAGAGAGCCCCATGATAAGCGAACGGTTGGAGTTTAGAATCAGAATACCATGCTAACCATTCACGAATAGATACTACAACGGATTTGTCTTCTAGTTCACTAGAGCAGCGTAGCGATTGGTTTAGGATTAAAAGTTGAGATTCGCCTATTTCAGAAAGAAGATTCGTGATTTTGGCCGCTATTGTTGAACTTAATATTAATCGATCAGAAACTTCTGTTTGTTTGTTGAGTTCTTGTAAACATTGTTCGAATGGAGTTAAGAAATAAGTAGAAGGCGGCACGGAACTCTTACTAGAGGGGAAATCAAACCAGCACTCTAAAAGTTGAACATCAAAAGCCAGCTCGTTTAGGTGCATGCACGATGAAAGAACAGTAGCGGTATGGGAAAGTTCGAACGACGACAAGCGAAGAACGTTCATAAAGGTAATTGAATTTATTTGAAAGACTTGTCGAAGTGCATTTGTTTCATTCGCCCAATTTGATTGACGTATGAATCGACAAACAGCCCGTTGTAGAGAGGAGAAATGCATAAGTGCTTGGCAAACGGCTTGTTGTTCGATAGCGGAAGCTATTTGCATTCGATCGAATATTTTAGAGATCAGTGTTTCTTTTTCAGCAGAAAAGATCTGCTCAAAGTGAATTAGATAACGAATGAATATGGTAATGAAGGCCAAGAAAGATATGGATGAGTCGATTTTTTCCAATAACCTAATCAATTCGATTAACACTTGATTTTCCTGCATTCGTTTTTTCTGGTAAGAATTTATATGAGAAAGTGCAATGAAAGCATCGAGTTTCCACAACGAGTGTTTGACATCTTGAATCCTCAACGAAACTTCGGCATTAATTGTTTCATCTTCTGTCAGATTGGCGAGATTCATCGATGCCGTGTAGATTTGCAGATCATGTAAATCATTTTCACCAGGCATATTTAAGAGACGCTCTAGTTCTTCCTGTATGGCAGTATCTATTGACGGGATTTGACTTTCTGAATTCTCAAATGACACTATTCTTTGTACCAACGACTGAACAAAACTGAGTTGAATTACCGCCCTCGTTAGATATATTTGACCTTCAAATTTAATCGTATGAACTGTGCGATTGATTGTAGCACGAAGAAAATTCATCAATTGATATTCGATCAAGATCGGTTCTAGAACTGTGAGTAAAATCCACAGACGTAGAGAGCATAATTCCATAGATGGAATCTGATTTAGAAATTCAATAACGAGATGTATGAATGGTAAAGGCGCAAAATGCTTCAATAGGTGAGTATAAAGTCTTTGCAAATGTTTCGGAAGATAGGCAATAAGAAGAAGAGTCGGTTGATCTTTGAGCAATTGAAACGGATGCCGTTTTTGCTTAACAAGTTCCAGATCGTTCTTTTCGAGTTCTTCAATATCATCGAAACGCACAGATTCTTGTGGCGGAATGCAATAAACAAACGATAGAATAATGAGACGTATTTCTTCATTGTACTCAAGAAATCGTTGTTGCTCGAATGACATTGGGAGTTTGAGATTGACAAGTTTCGTCTTATTTATTTTGTGAGATCTTCGAATCTTGTGTGGACAATCGTCGACACAGACTAGCGATCCGTAGGCGTGAGCCAATGATTGGAAAGCCATTAAGTTTTCAGTTTCACCTTTTTTCTGAACTAATGTAGTAAGCTCAATTGTATCAGCTGATCTCATGTGGATGTAGTAATCGTGCAGATAAATTCGAATGAGTTTTAGATGATGTACGGCCCATTGCAGAGCATTTTGACTCGGATATTGATGATAGCTAGATGGTGGACTAATACCATTAAGACAGAGTAAGACAACGAAACTATGTATCACTCGTAGTGATATATCAGATGATGAAGCACCAGATACGATTTGATGGCACTGATCGATCAGACGTTGCATTCGACTCGTTTGATCTCCTGCATCATTCAGATAATCAATGAATACGGATGACAAAGGTGAATTTTTAAATATACGTTGCGGAGAAAAACGAACTGTTATGTGGCGTTTTTCGTCCTTCTTTGATTCGGTTCTTTCGAGTCCTCCATACAAGGCAATGATGGCTGCTAAAACCCGCGTATCCAAGTTTGCAAAAACATCAGGTTTAGCTAATAGATAACTACGTAAATTTTGAAACATATGTTCTGATCGTTGATAAGTAATTGTCATACTCATTGTTGTCCAGATTTTCTGTACATAAACATCAAACTTCTCTTCAAAATCTCCGGAGTAATTGCAAAATATTCTTAAAAAATGTAAATTGATCCATCTTGGAAAAATTTCACATGTGCTTATTACAGTCCATGCAATCAGTATCAATTTAAGATGGCTAGCGACATTACTCGATAGGACGTGTTCGAACCATTGGTGAACCATTGGAACTGGTAGAATATTAAAAGCTGCGGATAACGACGATTGAAAAAAACATGTTTCTGGCCCATCATCATCCACCAACAATAATGAGTCCAATGCGTTGAACACAATCGATTTGGATGGTAAACAAGTGAGATCGGCAAGGGATGTAACGAATAATAGAGCTCCTAATGGAACATATTTATTATAATGATTATTGTACGAAATCAATTGATCACAAAATCGATTATAACGTTCCCAATCCCATTCCGAGCTAATTTTGCTCATAGCAAATAGGAGAGGACCACGCATGGGAAGTCGAGAGTAGAAATTGTAAAAGCGAGGGGCCAGTTCTTCAGGAGATGGGTTCTTTGTCATCATCGATATGTGAACAAAATATTCTTGGAAGCTTGAATGAAAAAATCCATAAATACCAAGATACGGAGTCGCAACCATGCCTGTGTCTTCATTGAGTATTTGAATAAATTGTTCTGTTTTGTATCGAAGCTCCGATAAACTTAGAGGACAATGTTCATTCGAATTTTGATTGTGCCATTGTTTGAAAGAAAGTCGACAAAGTGTTTTTAAATCGAACTCATCGATAAGGCCTGATTTTGAACACAAATGGATATACAACGCAAGTTGAGAAAGAACATACTTGAGTATATGGTTTTCAGTTTGTGATTGCTGAATTATTAATTCGACCATTTGTTGGTACAATAACATGCGAGTATTGGCTAACGATGGGATACCATGTCGGGCAAATAAAATGCACAAAATGGATAGAAGACGTCGATTTGATGCCCATGCAGTTATTTCCTTTCTTGAATGAAATATTTCGAGAAGTTTACTGGCACAAAGCCAATCTTGATTTTCAGCGAGTTGTCTATCTTTTAATTTTGGTACAATTGTAATAAACAAATTAATTACTTTTGCTTGCACATCAGTGCACCATGTCGTAACAAAATCTGACACATCTTTTGGAGTCATAGGTATGATTCTATGATGTGCGATGAGTTCGCTTCGCAATGGTTGAACATCATAACCGGCAATTCTACCTGTGATTATAATAACATTCCCGGGCTCTATGCCTTCGCATCGATCTACTTGTGTTGACCACATCTTTGCTAATTGGACATCATCGTAGACAGATATAAAATCTGATGAAAGCACGAACGAACCAATAAAATCTTGTATGAGTTTTAACGCTTGAGCACGAAGCTCAAATGTGGCTACTGCATCGAGACCATCGAGGATGATCAAGGCATGTCGATGAAGAACAAAATCTTGTATCATTTCGAATTTTTCTTCCAAATACGATTTATTCTGCCATGTGTGTTGTCCAAGATAATCAAATAGTGTAGAAGTCGGATGACTTTGTAGCCAATCTGTGAATTCGCTTACACAAATCAGAATAGGTAGACGAACTGGTCCGAAATGTTTCTTTTCGTCACCATCTTTAATCGAGACTTGCTCTAGATTCCGTGATATAGCTCGAGCAAATTCATAGGTTAACCATCGAGCCAATGTTGTCTTTCCACAACCTGAACTGCCGAGAAGAACAATCCAACGATGATCTCGAATAATTTGATCGACATGAACATCATGCACAGTTTTTCTTAGTTGTTTACGAAGAGGTTTAGAGGGAATAAATGAAGTAGATAAATTTTGATTGGATAACTGCTCAGATGCATAGTTGATGTTTGACTCTAATCGTAAATTGGGACAAGTAAGAGGAATACAAATACGTTTGAGAGCTTGTGTCAATTTTTGACGTTGTGGACACTTAAGGTAAACAGTATGCTCTTGTTTGTCAGCGAATAGACGATTCAATAAGGTATCTANCCATCTCGATGGCATACCAATGAATACATTTATTCAGATAGGCTATTTTAGTAATTTCATATGCTTCTTCATCATCATTGTCATCTTCTGCTTGTTCTTCAGATGCTCAAATGTAAGTAACAAATGTTTTCTTTTCATTATCGGAAGCATGTTGAGTCCACCAGCCAAGTACCGTTGGATGATCATGAGTACCTTTATAAGCAACACAATTTCTTATATAATTATGTGGATGATGAAGGAAGCCAAATCGAAAGATGCGCATACCGGGTAAATTAAATTGATCACGTAAATCAAAAACTTCTTTTGTCAGAATACCGAGATCTTCTACAATTAAAGGCAATGGATCCCCTAATGCACTGCGAATAGCTTTGAAAAATTCCACACCACTAATCAAGATAAAGATCGAAATGATCCTTTGACAATAGATAGAAAGCTTACGGTGCTTTGATCCATTGGCTATCTGTTGGTTTCATGGGAACATGATTTTCGTCAACAGGTATTGACCAATAGGATTCGACACCACGAAAATGATCAATCCATACAATATCTATGGTTTCCAATGTTTTCCGTAAACGTTTGATCCACCATTTGAATAAGATTGGTCTTTTCGTATTGTTATTCCAATGATAAATCGGCGTATTCCAGTTTTGACCGTTGGCACTGCATTCATCTGGTGGACATCCTAGGCACAGAAAATGTAATCATCGCAATGGTATGTGCTATTTTCTGTCATCGGTACTTTCAAGAGATAATCAGAAATTCGATGGTTACCTGATACAACTGATGGTAACAATGTCTTTTCATCTAATTGGAAAATTTGTCTATTTGCCCAGATATCAACTGAATCATAGTCAACATAAATAGGTATGTCACCGATAACTTTAATATCACCTTGATTTGCATATGTTTTCAATGCTGACCACTGTTAATGAAAGATATACTGAAGAAATATATGGTACCGATATTGATCTTGTTGTTTTTCTCTGATTCATTGTGATCCTTCTGGTCGACGATATTTTAATTCATCTGGCCATAATGACCAAGATTTATTTTTCTCTTGTTCTTTAATCGTCATATACAAGGCATAATCATCAAGCCAATATTGTTGTAATTGAATAAATGGTTTTAATACATCTTGACCATATTTTTGTTGTTGTTTAAAATTTTTGTAGGCTTTTTTGAGGACAGTAGTTTTATATTCGATAACCGATTTGAATTTTACATAACTATTATCAAATTGGAAATTCGATGGTATAATTAAATCCTTCTTAGTTAATAAATCTATTTTGTATAATTTATCAAAACTAATCAATAATGGATGACCAGCAAATGCGGATAAACCAGAATAGGGTGAACATGCAGCAGTATGTGTTAATGATAAGATTTGCCAGACTTTTTGACGAGTTCTATGAAGAAAGTCTACAAACTTAAATGCTTCTGGACCAAAATCTCCAATACCATACGGACCTGGTAAACTGGTTATATGTAATAAAATACCGGACAAACGGCTTGAATTCATTGTATGTAGTAATGAGATTCAAATATGAAGTTACAGTGTCTTGTATGCCAATATCATAGATTTGTTCACATTCGTCCAAAAAGTAACATGAGAGTATATATGAAAGAGGGTGTGAGTGTGGGTGTGTGTTTGCAAGAAGAAAAAGCCGACACCCACACCCACACCCACATCCACACCCACACATCCACACCCACACACCCACACCCACACCCACACCCACACCCCCACCCACACCCACACCCACACCCACACCCACACCCACACCCACACCCACACCCACACCCTGTTACTGTCACTATAGTGACAGTAACATTTACAAAGTTATCGATTGTATTAATTTCATACTTAATTTTTATATTAATATCTTTATTGACAACCTTGTCGAGTTCTATATATCATTTTATATTTTTTTTATAAAACTTTTCAAGTTGTTTTACAAAACTTCCATATATCCCGCTTTCTGCTGTCTGATGTTGAATTAAATCTTGTTCTCATTCATACATATAGATGTTAGTTAATACTTGTATAAATGCCGAACTCATAGCACCATCATGAACGTGTGGATAATTCATGCCTAATGTTAAGCGAGACATTCTCATATTAGCGTCAATTGATAATGCACCTATCTTACCGTGATATGAATGGTTTTCTGAGAAGAATTGCATCAATGCATGTGATACACATTTTCTTGGTACCATTGTGTAAAGATTAGTTATATTTATTACAATAAATTCAGTTATCGCTTTAAAATGACTATTCAAAACATATATTCCTTCTTTTGTGGAAGTCTCGCATGTTTTCGAAGAAAATAGTAAGTGTAAGTTTGATGTCGAAGTTTTTGCGGTTCCCCTCCCACTTTCAATTGCAGACACTTAGCCACGTAGCTCCTCATTACAAACAGGTTTCCATTACAGACATTAATAATTTAATGATAAAAGTATCACACCACTATGTTACAGAAGTCTGGAGGATTCTAAAGGTTTTTTATGCAAACTTCATTATTTGAAGTTTGTTGTTTTACTTGTTTAAATATCTAATTTTTGATCTTATTGCATAGAAAAGTTCAAGTTGAAGATGTCGACAACAATTAGGAGCAATACATCGTTTTGCGATAGTTGTCATATGACCAGCAAAAAAATTAAATTTAACGAAACGGTAAGTTTAATTTAGGTGTCAGCAATATTAATGATTATGAATTGATCAGGATATGTACTTGTCTGTCGACACATAATTTAATATACAATTGATGTTAACAACAGTCATAAATGTGAGTCAAGTCAATAATTAGAAAAATAATAAAGTAAAAAGACAAAAAAGGAAAATATGAAAAAGAAAAATAATACGCGGTTAGCAACAATAAAAATTTTAAAAATTAGAGCGCCATAGAAAATATCTGTAAAATTCTTGTAGAAATATAGAAATTCGATTGATCATTGCTCGGCACATCCATTATTGCGCAGAACTACCATAGTCCATCAGAGGTTTTTCGCTTTGTATATGTTTTTAGTAGTTTAATGAGACTGGAGAGCATAGGTGAGTTGCACATTTTAGCACCACAGGTGTTATGCTAACGAACGTTTTCTGATAAAGTTAATATATAATTTTATGACTAGTATAATTAATTTGAAAAAGATTGATCGTCGTATGTTCACATAATCACACAAAATTTTCACAGATTATGTGACTCATATCCAAAAGAAAGATATGAACTTAATGCCAATATTTCTCTATTCAGCAACTCTAATACTGATAAACATGGAGCATTCGTATTAATAGTTCATGACAACGCAAAACTACTAGCATTAAATGATGTTAATTCTAATACGTTCTTTTCACTACTATCCAAACATGAAACAAGCAAAAACTTTACTGCATACATAGAACCTAGTATAAGTCAACGTTAAAAAGTGGTACATGCTTCCATTTCACATCACTAATGTAAAAGAGCAGGAAAATGGACAAATTTCTTTTGATGGTTCATTAATTCAATTCAATATTCTAGTTTTCCATGCTTTATTGAAGTAACGCTTTGATTTCTACTAGAAATTACTCAAATTACGGAATCATCTCATGTGCTCGTTATGCTTAAATACATAGTGTCGACACGATGGATTGGACTGGTTCGTAGAAATGCAATCAAGATCAAGTTTGTTCAAGAATATTGTATATTGAGAAAACATACTGAACATGATATTCGATTCAAATATGAAGATAATAGAATCAGTAAGTATTTGAGAATTAGGAAATCAACAATTATTTATATTTCAGCTTTTTATTCATGTTTGTAATAAGCTCGATAAGATAAAATAAATAAAAACCATTGAAAAGCTGTCCACGTTGTTTTATTAAAACAAAACTACATAGATAATTTCTGCTTCTACAGTACAATTTATAATGATAAAAATAGTTTTTCATTTTTCCTTATGTGCTTCCTTTGGTTGCATCACCTACTGTGTAAGCAGGGCTAACAACTTGTCCTTTGTCAACAATTAGATATTCTTGCCGTAGTGGTTTCTGATTAAGCCAATTTTCAAGAATTTCTTTGACACCAGCTGCATAACGTGCCTGAGCATCAAGTGTCGTACCTGAATAATGTGGTGTCATTGCATGTCGTGCCATTGAACGCCATGGATGTTCCTTCGATGCTGGCTATTAATAAGAACACATAATAAGAAAAACCCTTGGTGCAATATCTTTGGCTTTATAACATAGAGGAGAGTATAGCTGATATTTATAGTGAAAGGAAGAGATTATTTTGACTTAGTTTTTTAGAAATATTTGTAATAATTGAACTTAACGTGTAAGATTTTGTTTTTTCTCGACTAAAATGATTGCGATGATATTTTTCTGTCTGTTATTTATCGATATTTCTATCTCTTTCTTTTCCTATACGTACTTGGTAATGACATTATTGGTTTGTCTTTCCCTCGTACATAATAAGAATAACCACAATACCCTTTCCCATTCGGTTTTCTTCTATATGTACTTTGAAATCATAGTCTGTATATGTTCTATTCTCATTGTATTTACCAAAGACCGGAACGGTGCCGGGTAGAGTGAGGAAAAAAAATACTTCAGGTAGAAGAGTGATGGAATAAAGCAGATTTCCCAAAGTTTTCTCCATTACTCAGCTTCATACTCAAAACTCGTATATGCATTGCACAAACTTTTTAAAAGAACTTAATAAAAATCTCAAAAGAAGCCAAACGATATTTAAAGAAAGTCGGGGTAGGGTAGGGAGTAGAAAATCTGCCCCATTTCGCGCTCCTATGTTTACTATAGTCTTCACAGTCCTTCTATACTAAGAAAAAAATGAATAAAGAGCACGATAAATGCAGTATAGTTGCGATTTTGATTATGCTGTCAAATGACCCATTCGTAAAATGCTGAATGCATTGTTAGTCAGTACGTTAGGCGACAGACCTGCAGGTAGTGCCGTCAGTAACAAGAAACAGGCTGTGTGTGGACCCTAATAATAGTCACGTCTGGTCTTGGTGAGTGATAAACCTGTGGAATATTGTTATTATTATCATTGTAAAGTGTTAGAATAGTAGCCCTCAAACAGGAGCGACTATATCTAAAGTAGTCACAAAATTACCGGACAACAGTTTTTAGAAAAAATTATTCAATAAGGTCTTCTTTCTGTTCTTTTCAAATATACTAAAGTTTAGAAAGAATCCAAATAATGATTTGATTAGAGAAAGTTTGTTTTCAACAAGAATATAAGAAACTAATTGTTATCATAATTGTTTTCAAAAATAGATTTTTTTAAATAAATAAAACTTTTTTGTTTAATCTTCTTAAAACAAGACTTCTTCGATTCTATATGTGGAAGTCTTAGAATAATAACTAAATGGTTATATTCTTATTCAAAACAAAATTCTCTTTTCGAATCTTTAATTAAATTTGTTTATAAAACTTAAAATTGAAAATAAGCTTCGTTGAATAATTTCTGTATCGAGATCTCTATTAGTTAGTGATGCCAACAGATTCCTACAGTCCAACTCTATCTTTAATATGTATTCCAAAAAAGTTTGAAAATGATTATTTTAATCATACTTGTGGATACCAAACATCTCCAGCATAACCTTGAATATGATTTGAATTAACAGCTTCAACCAAATCATTTCGATTGACAATTTTTCCACGTGCTGTATTAACAATATAACTACCTTTTTTCATCAATGATAGCAACCTTTTATTAAACAAATCTTCTGTTTCAGGATGTAATGGACAATTTATTGAAATAATATCGCATATTTGAACTAATGATTCAACACTTGAATGATATGTTACATTAAGTTCTTTTTCCAATGATTCATTTAAACGATATTTATCATAATAATGTAAATGAACATCAAATGGTTTAAGACGTTGTAAAACACGAACACCAATACGACCAGCACCAACGACACCAACATGTTTATTTTCTAAATCATATGCATTATCAGCAATTGCAGCTATATCCCATTCACCGTTGATAACTTGCTGAAAATATAGAAAAAATATCTTTTTGTTTTCTTAGAAAAAGGAAAAATTCGATATTCATCCTGTGATATCAAAAGAATTTCTGTTACACTTAAAAATACAGAAAAAATAATTCATTTTTTTCATCTGATTTTGATGAATAATTTTTTTTATCAATAATAGGATTCATGTTTTATGTCATGACAATGAATTATAAATACAGTTTTTCTAAGCATTTTTTATCATAAAAATATGATATGATTACTTATTGTGTTGAATCAATATTTTGAGAACATGTTTCACTTACATTCGACCCTATTTATCAATGTCTGTTACACCTGAGTCTCATGTGTCGTTGACTGTTATATTTAGGCTATCAGTTCAAGATAAATCGAAAGTATTAACAAGCAAAATCATTATCAAAGTAAAAACAACTTATGCTTATGAATTTCTATTTCTTTGTTGTATTGACATTTTGATAGCCTTAAATGACACTGTCATTTCGTATCATTTCTGTTCAAATGTATAACGATATCTTAGCATAGATCGTATTAAAAGAGCCATTAAAAATGGATTATTCCATCGTACTTTATCAGAAGACTGCAATTTATATAGAATAAGATCGAAAAATGTAACACACATTTTTCATCTTTCTTATTTTTATTAACTTTTCAGTCTTTATCATATAGTCCCTCTAATAAATTAAAATGCAGTGATAAATAATTTACTTTATAAGCTGGGATAAAATTTCGTACAAGTGCTAATATCTGCATAATAACATGCTCAGCAACACTGACAACATTAGAGCCCGTTACTTCAGCTAAATTAAAGAAAACAAGAGAGGAATAATTCATATCATTTATTGACCGGCGAACATACCGACAGTAATTCCTATTAGACAAAAATGAACATTAATTAATTAATTTTATTTTTTATAGAAATGAAAGTATACCTCGTTTGCAAGCTGCTTCTAAATTGACATGATCAGAACCAATACCAGCTGTAATTGCTAATTGTAATTTTTTTGCTTTATCGATACGTTCTTGATTGAGATAAAATGGCCAGAATGGTTGTGATATAACAACACTGGCCTCAGGTAAAACTTTTTCAGCAACACTGTTGTCACCATCTTTATCAGATGTTACAATAAGTTTAATACGATCTTCAAGTTTATTTTCTTTAATCCATTCAGGTAAACCGAGTGCATTTTCTACACAACCTAAGATATTTTTATTGTTTTTACCAGCTTCACCTCCTTTTAAAATAAAGAAAAACAAATTATCAAATAAAATAAAATAAATTTTAAATCAAACCTTCATAAAGTACGACTAAAACTGTATATTGATCATTTGTTGATGCAGCACTGGACATTATTTTCTATTATCTGCAATGATATAAGATATATACTGGTATTGTTACTGATTCACACATACAGCTGCTGAAAAGAAAAACGGAAGAAGTCGAGACGAGATAAGTAAATGAAAATGTATTTTTGTAAATGCTTGGTAACCTCTATCGTAGAAAAGAGGATGATCGATACAATAATATAAATACACTAGATTCGACAGAAAATAGTAGTCACTTCCACAAAGATTATTCTCACATGATCAAAGTTATTTTAGAAGATACAATTGAATATTCAAAATAATTAAAAATAACATCTGTTTCATCTTATGTGAAAATATAGCATCGATTGAATCGTATCTCACTAAGAGCAATTCTTTTATCAAAAAAATAGAGCTCTTTCTCCTCTTTTGAATTGTATATAATTTCTTTTTTTTTTAATAGGCTTGTAACTGGAACGATACAATAAAAAAGAGAGATGCTCTCAAAACGTATTCGCACTTTATATGTGGAAGAACACACAAATTTCGACCTTTACATTTTCCTTAAAAAATTATGTTATTAGTTGATAAGAAATTTTCTCCTCTTTCAAATGATGTACGCTTGATATTTGTCATAGATTTGTTAATGGAATGATACGAATAACGCATACACAAAAAATTGCCATCTTTTTATCATTCAGTCAAAGACATCTGGCAGATAGCAATTAAATATACTTAACTATCGCTTAACAAGCTGTTTCAAGGAGTTCATTAAAAGCGAAGTAGCTACAGTATAAAAGTTGCAATTTATTGGACTAGTGTTCGTCTTTCTACTTTGTCTCATTTCGCTTACGAATGTGTAACGAACATAAACCATACATCATTCAAAGGGGATAAAACTCCTTACCAACTGATAACATAATATTATTTTCAAAACATATTTTTTGAAGAGTGATTCAAGAAATATAGGAATCGACATTCTCTGCCATTCTTTTATAAATTTCACGAAAAGTGTGGAGATGTTTTGATGTTATCTCTCTTTTCTTGTGTCGCTCCGTTTACAAGCATGTGCTGAAAATTAAATTATATAAAATTCAAAAGACGAGAAACGACTCTATCTTTCGGTACCTGTCTATCGAAGAGAAATAGGGATCAATATTTAGTGTTCTGATTTTTCCATCCTAGGTTCTATGTTGAGTCTAACACATTCGAGGCGATGTAAGCCACCGGTGACTCATGGTATATTTTCACGGTCAAAAAAAAATAAAATAAACTCCACACGTAAATCCAAATTTGGTGCTCAGTTTTTTTCGACCTAATATGTGCATATAATACATTTAAAATTTTTCTTAACGATTAAAAAAAATCAAGTTCAGTTGGGTGGGTGTAAATCGAAGAGCACGCATAACCACACCCACATTCACACCCTCAATAGTATGAAAAACATTTAAAAAGAATCACCTATAAGCACTTTTCCTGTTTGAAGTCTATTTTTCAAAATATTTAATACTCGGTTTTCGCCTACTCTTCTTTCACGTGGGTAATATTGATTAAGTCAAAGACTGTTAAACGATGCGAAAGTGATTTTACAAATGATTTTATTGAAAACAAAATACAAAACAGATAAAACTAAAAGCATTATTATTTTCATTGTAAATAATATTTATCATGCCGACGTTATATTAAATAATCCTTGAGTCAGTTTCCTGAATCGATGATTTTCTGTAATTTTGCAACATTATCATGAAGTCCTGCATCCACATTGATGCAGAGTGTCCTAAGATGATTACTATTTTTCATCTAGATTTTCCATACAGTACATCGAATGATTGTTTCCACGTTATAGTTACTAATTTGTTGTAATTCGAGAAATTTGATACGTGGAAAACGTTTAATAATAAAAAGCATTTGTTCGATGTTGGGTATCTCTCTTATTTATGAAATGATAAAACATTTTAGTATTTTCATTAGATTGATACATTTTTTTTAGTTTTTGTGCGAATGATATTATTCTCAATGAATCAAGATTTGGTAATAAACTTAGGATTTAAAAAAAAATATTTGAAGTTATTTGACTGTAGTCAATATTTAAACTAGTAACTATTAACATATCAAATTAAGGAACAATTTTGTTACAAAATGGTTGATTTTCTTTTATGCGAAGATTACTTCTGGCACCAATATGAACACCTGCAGGAGAATAAATTGAAGAATTGGTAAGATTCACAAATTCTTGAAAATCATTACAAAAACATCTAAAAAATAGCAAAAATATTATTGAGATAAAGAATTAGTTTTCAAAGGTACCTCGAATGACGCATTAAAAAGATTATTTTATCATTCTAAACAAAAATCTAAAATATCCATTGTCTTTTAAAATAAAATGGTGAGGTGAGATAATTGATCAATTCATGACAAGATGTTATTTGAAAATCATCATCAATATCATCAACATAACACAAAATAGTTTTTTTAAAAAAAGGTATATGATGAATAATTAATTGTAACAGTTAAGAATTTTAATTGAGAACATAATTTCAAAAAAATTCTTCAAATTTATCAAATTTAAGGCGATTTATCGCTATAGTTAAATGTACTAAATTATTTGATTTAATTAATCCTTCTGATTTAATATTATCTTCTGATTCAATTATATTCAAACAACATAAATGAGAAAGTCGAGTTGTGTAAGAAATTAAATTAATTAATTCATTAAGAGTCAAACTATGATAAATAATCAAATATTCCATAAAAGCAAATTGTTCCGGTAAGTGAAAAACTATTTGATAAATATCACCAAGATTATCGTTGAAATCATCAAAACAAACAGTCAAAGAAGAGAAGTACCATAAATTGGAATGTTGAAATTTCATTAAGAATAATTGATTAAAGATGATTCATAAGTGATTGATGACTAGAATCGAATGAAATAATTTGATATTTATCTGAATCGATGATATGTTTATAATGATCTTCCAATATTGCTTCTGGTTCAGAAGAAAATCGAATTTTTAGAAGATATGATGAATTAAAGAGAAGAGTTTCAAAACGATTATTAAGATTTGAAAATGCTTTATAAATATCTTGGCAAAGAGGATAGTCAAAAATTTCATAAAAAATTTCATTTGATAATTGTTCAATTGAATTAATCGATTTTCTTTCTAGAAAGAATAAGATGTTTATGAATTACATGAATTCTTTATAAATTTACCCTGTAATTTTACGTTCGAAAACGAATATATTACTCGATTCATGTGTAATATAGAATTAGATAATTATCTACAAAGATAATGAAATTAATGCCTAGAAATCTATTGTGTCTGTCTTTCATTTATACAAACTGACTCTTTGTTCGATTAAGGCGTGAGTGTGGGGTATGCGTGTTGCTCTTTCCTTTTTACTCACACCACGCCCCGATATCGACACCCACACCCTCAAGCGAATGTAATCGTATAGGAATTATCTGTTTACGTTTAACCTGCCAGCAGCTTAATAAAGGTGATCGATTGTATGGTTGTTATCAACATTGCATTTCAATATCACCAATATTGAAATCTCATACGAGTAAACATATCTTTATTGAGTGAAATTTTGCTATTATCCATCTCTGTTGACAGCATATCTGCTTTCTTTTCCACTACTTTGAATTCTATAGGTAACCATTTTGAGAATTTAATGAAAAAAAATCCAGGAAGCCTCTTTAATAGATCCCGGTGTAGTAAATATTTTTTTGAAGCTTTTATTAATGGACATCAGGCAAATTGAAACTTGGCAAAAGCATTGGGATAAGTTATAGAGAAAAGAAACTGAGAATGACGGGAAACAACACAAAGCAAAAAGAAACGAAGAACAAAGACAAAGACATCAAAGATAGGATAAAAAGAGCAATACACATTAATTTATCTAAGCAGACAAAACACTATTACTATGAATTTCGCTGTCAATTATATGTAACAGTTTGTAGTTCTATCACTAAATATGGGCTCGTTTTTGGTTAGCACGCATATTTGCACTCAAATCTATGATCAAACATATTCCTCTAGTCCTATCCAATGCTTTGACACTGTCAAGGGTACGAAATAGAAGAATTTCTAGGGATTGTTTCCAATGTTAAGTTTAGATCATCACACCATCCATAATTTTCAAATTCTACTATCAATTGAATTTGAAATGAATCTGTTCGGGCTCGCATTGTAATAAAGTCAGATTCTAAAGTTCAAAAAACCCAATTTAAAAAATGTAATTAATCAACTTTATTTTACCTTGTTTGAAACTCGTGATACCAATTGGAATACCCTTATGGTTATTGACTCGAATTGACGTACCATGGCCACCACCGCGAGCCGATACAAAAATAACAACACGATAGCGACTTGTCAAATCAACATATCGTTTCAGATTAACGTGTTGAATCATAATGGATGTATTCTTTGTTAAACTAGTGAATACACAGTTGAGTGAATCATTATTTATACTCGAAATGATAATGGTATTTGGTGGTCTTACTTCCCAATCACTCATAGATGAATAATTGTCGCAATTAGCATTACCATTACGTAATAAATTAGGATCTTGAGTAATAACAGAACCGTTAGGTAGTACAGCGCCTCGTATTGAAGCACTACTTAATAGCTGTTCATTAGAAATATTTGTCTTTGCTGACATAATTGAAAATGAAAAATTGGCCATACTAACATTAGCTTGGAAAAAAATTGCATCTGCTAATTTCGTATTTAATAAAGTAGCTAATCTTAGATTAGCTTTAAAAAAATTAATTTTTTCCATATCAGCAAAACTAAAATCGGCATCCAATAGATTAGATCGAGTAAAATGAGCACTATTCAAGTTCGCTCGAGCAAATACAGTTTCTACGCATCTAGCATCTGTAAAATTGGATGTTAATAGATTAAGTTTGTACAGGGTCATTCCCGAAAGATTAACACGAGAAAAATTCGCTCGTTCTAGTTGTGTTCTTATTAAGATTGCATCTTTTAATTTGGCGTTCGTAAAATCCGCTTGCTTAAGACTGGCATCGGAAAAATTAACATTTTGGCAAAAACTGTTAACGAATACAGCTTGTCCTAACACACTTGAGATGAATGAAGCATTCGTTAAATCCGCATGTCGAAAAATAATACGGCGCGACTGAACATCAATGAACTTAGTATACCGTAAGACGGCATCTGAAAAATCCGTTCGTACAATGCTAGATCTTGAAAAATCGACATAATCCAATTTAGTTTCAATAAATCTCGCATCTCTCAAATCTGAACCACTAAAATTAGCATAGGACAGATCACACTTAGAAAACGATACATTTCGTAAAACGGTGCCAGTCAATGATAGATTATGTAATTTTTTGTGAAAGATCGTCTCGCTACTTAGGTCGATACCATTTAGATCAGCATCTGAAATGTCAAGAGGATTTGCACCATTGATCAATTGTTTAGCTTCGTAAAGAAATTGTATTAAAAAAGCATTTCTAGCAGCATCAAGTTGTTGAATAGCAACGAGTGTTTTCGCTCGAGCAAGAATAGCGGTTACTGAATCAGATGTTAATGATCCATTGTTATTTTTAAGTAGTAGTCCAATATCATTCATATAATTGACAAGTAAAGAATCACGCAATTGTTCTTGAGCAATCTTAAGTTCATGAGCTCGTTGTTGTTCGGATAGATTTCGTTGTTTCTCAGCTATTATATTTTCTTGAATTCGTCTTTCTTCTGCAATATCTTTATCTAGTTGATGTTGTTCACGTGAAATATTCAAATCATACTCTCTTTGAATAGCAAACATATTTAAGTCTTGCAAACGTTGTTCACGTGATATGTTCAAATCTTGTTCACGTTGTCGTTCAGCCAATGCTCGATCTTCAAGACGTTGCTTGGTAGCAACATTTTGTTGATGAAAAGTAATTACTACTGTAAAAATTCCTAATGCAAGTGGAAGTAGTAATGAACTAATAAGTCGCAAAAAATCGTTTATAGTTAGTCCAAAGTAAGTTTTCAATGAATAATATGGTATCTCTGTAATTGTATGTTGATCACGACGCAACATTTTCATTAATCAATACTTATAGAACATTGAATTAAAATGTGAAGTGTTCTAGCTGAATCAAACATCAATCTATATGTTAAAATTACTGGAACATGCATAAGTGTTAAAAATGACATACCGTTCAACATAATAATAGAGATACTGAATATTAAAAAATTATTAATCGTGTCTATTTTTATTGTTGACTTGCGATAATGTCGAATGAGAAATATATATATATATTCGCTCTTTAAGCCTTGATATTGTCTATTGGGAAATATTAATGATTATTCAAGAAAGATTAGATTCTTTTTTCTTATGACGTGTAGAAGTTGACAAAATCAAAGGATATGGGTGTGCGGTGCGGGTGTACGTATTAGAGACTATTGCAATTGCAATACTGGACAAATTTCAATAGCAACAGTTAAAGATTGATCATGGAAAAGAAAAGATTAAGTATGAGTTCAAATTAGAAACTATGTGTTAAGAAGACATTGACCGAAAGGGATTTTGAAAGAAAATAATAGTATATAGAATATATAATTGGTTGTTTAGATTACTTTCAGCTATGCAGCTATTATAGGCGTATGTCAATTACATTTGCATAATTTTAGTACGTAATTTATATTGATTTGAACTAACTGACTGTGAGTAGTAATGAGTCAAAAAAATGAAGTGGCAACAGTATGTCATTCGAAAATTATATTGCACATGATTTTTCTACTTTCTGACTTGATAACAAATGCTACAGTATCATTGTTTTTTTTTTTGAGACATTTTCGGCATAGTCAATGGGAATCGGTAAATTATTCAAGCTATATGATTGATTTTAATATTGAACTAAGATAGAGAACTCAATCAAAATTCAGAAATCATGTTAAAATATTGTCAAACAACTCAGCAAAACGATTTATCTTTTTTGAATAATCATTCATGTTCTAAAACAAATTAACTTTAGGTACTAACATGAATATTTTTCTGGTGTTAAATATTGACTGCAATGTCTGTCGCAGAGTATATTTTAATAATCATGAATTTTCTAGTATCTTACATAGGGTGTGGGTGTGGATGTGGGTGTGGGTGTGGGTGTGGATGTGGGTGTGAGTGTGAGTGTGGGGTGTGGGTGTGGGGTGTGGGTGTGGGTGTGAAATGTGTCTGTTAATGTTGATCTCATCCACACCCACACCCACACCCTCTTGAAATCTTTCATACCACGATGGATTCCAATCTGGATGCTGTATTTGATACCACAATAATCAAACTCGCCATCATTATTCTGGACTTGTGTTGCAGGGTGTGGGTGTGAATGGTGTAAATGTGGTTATGAAAAAAGAAAAGATTATCACCCACACCTAAATCCACACCCACACCCACACCCACCTCCACACCCTCGCAGTCAGATCCTTTCTTTTGT